CAACCTTCCTTCCGAGGAGTGGCTGGTGGGTTTGAACTGCCAGCCTTCTGGTTAGCAGTCAAGTGCTTTAGCCACTATGCTACCAGAGCTCCTTGCTAGTGTATGTAAATACAATTGGTTTTTGTATGTTGATCTTGCATCCTGCACTTTGCTGAACTAGTTTTTTTTCTATAGCTTTACCATTGCTTTTTTTTTTTGTAGGTTTTTAAAAGGATTTTCTATATATAAGATAATTTCCTATTCAAATATAGATTTTATTTTTACTTCATCCTTTTCAATGAGGAATGCTGTTTGTTTCTTTTTCTTACTTAATTGACCTTGTTAGACTTTCCAGTACAACGTTTGGTTTGGTTACCTTGTGCTGCTTTAACAGAAAAATACCACAAATGGGTTGGCTTTAACAAACAGAAGCTTATTCTCTTGCGGTTTTGGAGGCCAAAAGTTGGAGTTCAAAGTGCCAGGCTCTAGGGGCCGGGTGAAAACCCCTCAACCTTGAGCTTCAGCTCTGCCTCTTGCTCTTGGCCCACTGAAGCTGGAGGCTTTCTTCACTCAGGTAGCGGTTGGCTTCTGAGGTTGACAAAGCCAATGTCAAAAAGTGAAAAGACACAGTCCTTATATTGCCAAACCACACAGCAGGCCACTGATTCAAGTCCACTAAGAATCCCAAGATTGACGAACAGCATAGCAGGCTGCTAACTGAAGGCTTGGCTACATGCTGGATTCAAGCGTGCCAAAAGCTACAGACCTTCCTCAAAGTTACTTCTTATATGTTGAAAGCAGACCACATCCCTAAAGCAGCTACTCCGCCACTCCAGTAGATTCCACCATGGAGTTAATTACCAGTCTCACCATGGGGGAATAAGTACATCCAGCTGCCCAGCCACTCAAAACCAGGCCAAGCCAAGTTGATGTACAACCTTAACTACCACAACATTGAGTAGAAGTGGTGAGATGAGAGCATCCTTGTCATGTTTCTGATCTTAGGGGAAACCTTTTAATCTTTCACCATTGACTATGATGTTAGCTGGTGGTTTTTCATAGATGCTCTTACTTAGGTTGAGGAAGTTCTCTTCTATTCCTAATTTGTTGAGTGTTTTTAACATGAAACCATGTTAGATTTTGTCACATGCTTTTTCTGCATAAATTGAGATAATTACAAGCTTTTCTTCACTCTGTTAATCTGGTGTATTACATTGATTGATTGATTTTCTTCTTTTTTTAAATGTTGAACCATCCTTGCATTCCTGGGATGAGTTCCACATGTCATGGTGCATAATCCTTTTAACAGGATGCTGGATTTGGTTGGCTAGTGTTTTGTTGAGGAATTTTGCATCTATATTTATGAGGGATATTGCTTTATAATTTTTTTTTTCTCTAGTGGTTTCTTTATTTGGCTTTGGTGTCAGGTTAATGCTGGCCTCATAGAATGAGTTAGGAAGTAGTCCTTCCTTTTTTTTTTTTTTTTTTTTTTTTTTGAAGAGTTTGAGAAAAATTCATGTTAGTTCTCCTTTAAACATTTGTAAGAATTCATCAGTGAAGCTGTCTGGTCCTGGCATTTTCTTTGTTGAAAGTTATTTTTGTTAGTGATTCAATTGCCTTACTTACAAGTCTGTTCAGATTTTCTCTTCATTCATGAGTCTGTTTTGGTAGTTTGTGTGAATTTGTTCATTTCATATAATTTGTTAACATTCAGTTGCTCATAGTATTCTCTTATAATCCTTTTTATTTCTGTAAATTCAGTAGTAATGTTCCTGTTTTTATTCCTGACTTTCATATTTTAAGTTTCCTTTTATTTTTCTTGGTCATTATAGCTGAAAGTTTGTCCATTTTGTTAATCTTTTCAAAGACCTAATATTTAGTTTGATTTCCTCTGTTGTTTTTCTGTTCTCTATATACTTTCCTTTGCTCTAATCTTTATCATTCCCTCCCTTCTGCTTGCCTTGGGTTTACTTTTCTTTGCTTTTTTTGTTTTCTTATGGCAGATTTTTGGGAGCTCTGGTAGCATAGTGCCTAAGGCACCTGACTGTTAACCAGAAGGCTGGAGGTTCAAACCCACCAGCCACTCCTTGGAAGGAAGATGGAGCAATCTACTTCCGCAGTGATACTGCCTTGGAAACCCAAGGAGGGGTCGCTATGAGTCAAGTCTGACTCGAGGGCACATAACAACAACAACAACAACATGGCAGATTTTAGATATTTGTTCTTTTTTAAGATAGGCTTTAACAGCTATAAATTTTTGGAACTCTTAAACTAATTCTTTCTGTGTACCACTACTTACCTGATCATGTGAGTGCCCTGCTGAGAAACTTGGAGCTCACAGATCCTGCCTGCCTAACAGTAGCATATAGGCTCTCCAAGTTCTAGTCCCAGCATATCTTTCTAGCTCTCTCTCACTATTTTCCCCCGCCTCATGTCATGCTCTGCGTTGATGAAGTCACACACTGGTAGGCTGCTCCTAAGCATGCAGTTTGTTTTCCATTATCCACACCTGCATCTCATTAAAGCTGTCAGCTCCCCTTCTGAACTTCCCCTGCACCTGTCTCTGCCTCCTGAAATGCCACCCATCTTTTCATAAGCATCTCAAATTGCAGCTGTTCTATGAAGTCATTCCTAATTACTTCAGCCAAAACTCATCTCTCTTCTACTAGATTTCTCTGACATTTTTGTAAGTTGTGTTGTTTGCATTCATGCTTTAGTTCACTCATTATTGAAATAGATATTTAGTAGCAACCACTGTTTATTTTTTTTCAATTGTGATTTGGGTGGAAGTTTACAAACAAATTCCTTTTCCATATAGGAGTTCATACACCTTTTCTTTCATGCCACTGATTGTAATCCAAGCAGCGTAACAGCTCTCTTCCCACTTCCTCCCTCTGGTTACCTTTTCCCAGTGTTCTTCTTTCCTATGCATTCCTGCCCTCTGAGCTATCTCCCTGGGCAAATACTGTCCTTCTGTTCTCCCATGGTTGATTATGCTAAAGAGTATATCTACCTGGTGTAAATGTTCACCTTATCATCCTGTCTGTTGTTTGGCTGGAAGCCACAGAAGTGAGTTTAATATCGGGCCTGAAGGGTACTATCCACTGTTTTCTAGTGTGGCAAAGAAGGCAGATGTTGTTTTTAATGATCTTTAGGGGGAGATATTGAACAAATAAATGCTTAAATATTATAGTAAGTACACAGTGCCTAAGGCATTTGACTGCTAACCAGAAGGTTGGCGGTTCAAAGCCATTCTGCAGAAGGAAGATGGGGCAATCTACTTCCATAAAGATTTACTGTCTTGGAAACCCAGTGGGGGTTGCTGTGAGTCGGAATTGACTCAATGACTTTTTTTTTTTTTTTTTAAATAAGAGAATGAAAACCCAACAAAATTATACAAGGGGGGATAAAACGAGTCTGAGTCAGTCTGGTTCACCATGGCAGGGAGAACATGACAGACAGAGGGAACATAATGTCAGAGGGCACAGGGGCAGTCTGTGTACCTTGCCTTCTTTATTGAACAAACATTTCCTGTCTGTTGTGCTACTTAGTGCATAAGTATAAGAATTAATTAATAAACATTGAGAACAGAGGTAGGTTTGACAAGAAGAAAAAAAAAAAAAAAAGAGCCCAGTGATAGGGGGAGAAGGCAAATGTGAGTGAATTGTCAAGGAATAAGATCCTGTCGATTATTTTTAATTTCAATAAGATAGTAGCAGTACTGATAGCAATGGAAGCAGCAGGAACTAACGTTTATTGAGCGTTTACTCTGTTAGGAGCTGTGCTGAGCACTTCGTGTGCACCATCTTACCTGACTTCTAATTGGTGTGCCTTCTGCCCTTTCTCTCCTGCAGTGTCTTGAAGCAGTGTCAGGATGTGGCGCTCTCCTTCCCACAGCAACCACAGGGATCCAGTCTCTTCAGTGGTACAAAGAAGGGAACACTGTTTCTCACTTCATACCGGGTAATTGCTGCCTCTGCTTTGAACTGTTGGGTAACTACATTTGTTTGCCCCAGAATGGAAAGAGGTTAGACGCTGACATTTTAAGTGTTTTAAAACATCCGCACTTTGATATTTTCCATGTTGAAGAGCAATGGAAGAAAATGGGCGGTGTTTCTCAGGCCAGGATGCCGAAGCAGCCTTGTCCTCGGAATTGCTATTAAAGTCTCAACCCCTGGGTGAAATCAGGGTTTTTTCCCAGAGTTTCTTTCCTGTCTCTCAGGTGATCTTCGTGACTTTACACTCAGTCAGAGACCCCATGCTGTCTTTTATGATGCCGTTTGATCTGATAAGGGACTGCACCGTTGAGCAACCATTCTTTGCCCCCAACTACATTAAAGGAACTGTTACTGCAGCCCCAGATGGTAAGGATTTCCCGACTCAGAAGTGTGTTATTTCTCAAAAGCGTTTAGAAGGCTTGAGATTCAGACTTGGCTCCTGTTGCTGCCCTTCCCCTTTGGGTGGTGCTTCTCCCGGTGTTCTGGGGACTCCTCTGGTACTTCCGGGTCAGCTTCCTCGGGAGGGTGTGTCTGTGGAGAAATGAGTTCCCTTAGGTGGCCTTTTGCCTTTGTTCTTTGGAAAAACAGCTTAGGAGATTTTTAGAGAAGTATCTTGGTGGGGGCAGGGCTCCCAAGTTGTTTTCTACCTCAGAGGGTTTCTTACTTTTGCCCAGGGGATTCCCCAAGTTGATTGACATTTCCTGCGTAAGCTGTTAAAGGAAAAAAAAAAAACCAAGCTGATGGTTTGATACTTTTATCTGATAATTAATAATAGATGAGTTGGTTGATATCTCATGGATAATTGTGGATGGATTAAACATTGGTCTGGTGAGGGAGGCCACACTTTGTAACAGATGAGGATTTAACGCAGTCATTGCTGTGGAGTCAGATCCAACTCATAGCGACCCCTCCTTGGGTTTCCGAGGCGATATCACCATGGAAGTAGATTGCTTAACCTTCCTTCCGAGGAGTGGCTGGTGGGTTTGAACCACCAGCCTTTTGGTTAGCAGTCAAGTGCCTTAGGCACTGTACCACCAGAGCTCCCTGATGAGGATTAGGCCATATAAACAGTGAAGAGGTGTGATGGCAACAGAGAGGCCCGTCGGTGGAGAGCGGCTGCTAAACTTACTGTGAGCTGGGCCAGTCAGTAGCAGAGAGGCTGATGGTAGAGAGCAGCAGCTGAGAGAGCTGAGTGGGTTGCTCTGCTGTACTGGCTATGAGCTGGGCCAGTTAGTGGCAGAGAAGGTAGCCACCTGGCAGAGAAGCTGAGTTGGAGCACCTGCCCAGCAGAAAAAACAGCTGTCAGCAGAGTAGCCACAACTGCCGATCACTGGAGTCCTGTGTTCCCTGTCAATGATTCCAAGTTGTTTCTGTTACTTCCAAGATGATCCCAATCTCAGGTTGTAGCCTATTACTTCCTTGATGTTAAACTATGTAACTGTGAGTACAGAGCTCTGGTGGCGTAGTGCATTTGACTGCTAACCAGAAGGCTGGTGGTTCAAACCCACCAGCCACTCCTCAGAAGAAATATTGGGCAATCTACTTCCATAGTGATCCTGCCTCAGAAACCCAAGGAGGGGTCATTATGAGTCAGATCTGACTTGATGGTAGTGAGTTTGGTTTGGATTTTTTTGGTGAGTATGGTCTGTGAGTTGTATGTGGCCGTTGCAACGAATTATCAGACCTTGCAGAGAAGTAGAGCTGTGGGTGGAGTGGCTGGTATCAGCTATAATGGAAAAGTGGGAAGGTAGATAGAGACCTGCCCTGTTCCTCACAGGGACCAGCTTGGTGCTGATCCTGATTCTTATCCCTCGTGGTTTTGGACACTTCATTTCACTGCCTTACAGTGTCATTTCTCCCCTCAGGTGGCTGGGAAGGACAGGCTGTTTTTAAATTGTCCTTCAGGAGAGGTGGTGCCATTGAGTTTTCCCAGTTGATGACACAAGCTGCTGTTGCTGGTGAGCAATGCTGACAAAGATACGGGGCACTTTGAGGTTTTGAGGCATTGGAATTGGAGGATTGTCACCCAGTTAAGATTCTCTGGTGTTCTGGGTCCTTAGTGCCACTCTGACAGAAATATACCACAAATGGGATGGCTTAAATAAACAGGAGTTTATTCTCTTAGAGTTTGGAGGCTTTAAGTCCAAGTTCAAGGTGCCAGGCCCTAGGGGCTGGGTGAAAGCCCTTCAACCTTGGGCCCAGCTCTGCCTCCTGCTCCTGGCCCATTGGAGCTAGAGGCATTTCTTCACTCAGACAGCTGCTGGCTGCCGAGGCTGCCAAGCCCAAGGCTGACAAGTAAAAAGACATAGTCTCAAAGTTACCAAATCACACGGCAGGCCATTAATTTAAGTTCATTGTAAATCCCAAGGTCAACAGAGCATGGCAAGCTGCTGAGCAATGGCACAGCTATATGCAGGGTCTAAGTGTGCCATATACTAGAGACCATTCTGCAAGGCTTCTGCTTATATACAGGAAGCAGACCACATCCCTAAGGCAACTAGTCAGCTGCTCATAGTAGATTCCAGCATGGAGTTCAATACCAGTCTCATCATGGGGAATGCTACATCCAGCTGCCCAGCCACTCAACCAGGCCCAGCCAAGTTGACACACAAACTGAATTACCACATGTGGTCTCTGTGGTCAGGCAGTTGGTAGTTGCACATGTATTCAGCAGGCATTTCCTGTGTGCTGTGCACCATACTCCATGCCGGGAAACAAAGGTTAATACTATACAATCCCTCCCTGCCCTGAAGGAGCTTGTGATCTAGTGGAGCTTACAGTCAACTTCCTTAAGTGACTACTTCTACCTGCTAGTCTTTTAGTTTAGTTTTAGTTGTTAGTTTTGGATCTTTAAAAAATGATGGTGATATACACACAACAAAACATACAGCAATTCATCAGTGCCTGGTAATCTTTTGTCCGTTTGAGTGCTGATCTCACAAATGCATCTACACGCTCTCCTTCTTCAAGTCAGGGAGCCCCAGTTACTTAGCTCTTCTTCCTTGGGCGTGGCTCCATGTCTTCTCTCCACTCTGGCCTGGCCTTTGCTTCTCCATGAAAGGGGTAGAAGCACCATGAAGTCCTCCAGCACTGATCTAATGGATGTACCAGCGAACTTTGCCCAACTGAGTGAAAACAACCCTGTTGTCATACATTTGTACACCACCTAGCCTCGCTTCAGGAGCTCTGATGGCATAGTGCCTAAGGCATTTGACTGCTAACCAGAAGGCTGGCAGTTCAAAGCACCAGCCATTCCTTGGAAGGAAGGTTGGAAATCTATTTCCCTAGTGATACCACCTTGGAAACCCAAGGAGGGGTCGCCGTGAGTTGGGTCCGAATTGATGGCACATAACAACAACAGCAGCCTCCCTTCATGCTCCTTTCCCTCACCTTTTAATTTGTGTGCTGGTGGGGGGGTAGCTGGAGCTGTCCTGAATCCATAAATACCTGAATCCATAAATTCTAGCTGAAAACCCTTCCAGACACACATGATTTATGGTTTTCATCCTCAAGACCAAGACAACAGTAAAAAAGAAAATTATTGGCAGTCTTGTTTAGGGGAACAGATGCAAAAACCCTATATTAAAAATCACAGTGACTGGACTGCCGTGTGAGAAGATATCCCATTGTCACCAAATGGAATGTGTATCTGAATGCAAAGCTAGTATACTCAACAATATACAAATACGTCATTTTGGAACCTACCAAGAACTAGCTTCGTAGGTGTGTTCATTTACTCATTAATTTACTGTTAGCATCAAATCTGTTTTTCCTACATCTTACCGTTACTGTTGAGAATATACTCAACAAAACATACACCAATTCAGCACTTTCTACATGTACGATTTAGTGACGCTGATTATACTCTTCAAGCTATGTGACCATTCTCCCCCTCCTTTTCTGGGTCGTTCCTCTCTCATAACATAAACTTACTGTCCCCTAGGTTCCTATCTAATCTTCCAAGTTGCGATTGTCAATTTGATCCCATACAGATAGTTCTTAAAAGAACGTAATCAAGGCAGACCTTTTTGACTGGTTAAGCTAAACTATTGTTTAAGATGACTTCAGGGGGTATTTTTTTGTTTAAGCTTATCTAGGAGCAATAGTTTCAGGAGTTCCTCCAACCCTCTGGTTCCAGAAAGTCTGGTGTCAGTGAGAATTTGAAATTCTTTTCTACCTTTTCCCCCTTTTGATCAGGATTCTTCTGTGGAATCTTCGACCAAAATGTTCAGTGATGGTAGCCAGGTACCGTGCAGTTCTTCCAGTCTCGTGGCAAAAGAAGCAGTTGTTCATGGAGGCAATTAGCCGCACATTCCATATCTTCCTCTTATTCCTCACTCTTCTTCTTCTGTTGTACCAGGCAAATAGAGACCAATTATTTTTCCATGGATGGCCACTTGTGAACTTTTAAGACCCTAGGCAGAACTCAGTGAACCAGGAGGTAGAACAAAAGCACTAAATACATTATTAGGCTAATTAGCTAGGATGTCCCATGAAACCAAGACCCTAAACCTCCAAACTAGAGAACCAAATCCCATGAGGTGTTTGGTTATACAAAAGCAGCTTCAGCAGCTGGTTTTTGGGGTCATTATTATAAATATTGTAAATATATCTGTCATACAACTTTTGCCAGTCCAGCTTTTTACATTTGTATAACTTATTGATGTAGTTACAATAACCAGCTGTGCAATACTACCCTTAATCAACGTGATTTTTCCATCACTGTTAACCTCCCTTTTCTTCTTCCCTCACCCCTGGTAAACACTAATAAACTTTGGTCTCTATACATTTGCCCTTTCTTGTCTTAAAAAAAAAAAAAAAAAACCAAAACCCAAACTCACTGCCGTGGAGTTGGATCCGACTCATAGCAACCCCTCCTTGAGTTTCTGAAGCAGTTGTTGTTATCACTACGGAAGTAGATTGCCCAGCCTTTCTTCTGAGGAGTAACTGGTGGGTTTGAACCGCCAGCCTTCTAGTTAGCAATCAGATGCCTTAGGCACTGTGCCACCAGAGCTCCCATCCTTTTATATAAGTGAGGTGATAAAATATTAGTTATTTTGTGATTGGCTTATTTTGCTCAGCATAGTGTCTCCAAGTTCCATCCATATGGTAGCATGTATCAGAACTTCATTTCTCCTGCTGGCTGAGTAGTATTCTTCTGTATTACCACGTTTTGTTTCTCCATTCATCTGTTGATGGGCTTTTAGTTGTTTCCATCTTTCAGTTATTATGAGTAGTGCTGCAGTGAACACTGGTGTATAGGTCTCTGTTTGAGTCTTTGCTTTCGACTCTTTGGGATGTATATCTGGGCTGTGGATCAGGTGGTAGTTTTGTCTTCAGTTTTCTGAGGAACCACCACCCTGTTTTCCATAATGACTGCATCATCAATGGATAGGGGTTCCAGTTTCCCAATCCTTGCCAACATTTGTTATTTTCTGTTTGTTTGTTTCAAATCTTAGCCATCCTCAAAAAAAAAAAGAAAAAAAAAAAGAAAAAAACCACTTCATTGCCATTGAGTTGATTCCGACTCATAGCAACCTCCTTTGGGTTTCTGAGATGGTAAATCTTTATGGAAGTAGATTGCCCAGTCTTCTTTCCACAGAGTGGCTGCTGGGTTTGAACTGCCAGCTCTCTGGTTAGCAGTCAAAGGCCTTAGGCACTATGCCACCAGCGCTCATAGCCATCCTGGTGGGAGTAGAAGGGTATCTCATTGTGGTTTTGACTTGCATCACTCTGATGGCTAATGACACAGCCATCTTTCCATGTGGTTGGTGGCCATTTGAATGTCCTCTTTGGTTAAATGTCTATTCAAGTCCTTTGCCCATCTGATGATTGAGTTGCCTTTTTGTTGTTAAATTGTTGAAGTTTTATATATACTATGGTTATTAGATTCTTCTCAGATAATGCGGTTTCCAAAGATTTTCTCCCAGCTTGTCTTTTCACGTTTTTGATAAAGTCTTTTGGCTCATAGTGACCCCTCCTTGGGTTTCTGAGGCAGTATTTCTATGAAAATAGATTGCCCAGTCTTGCTTCTGAGGAGTGCCTGGTGGGTTTGAACCGCCAGCCTTCTGGTTAGCAGTCAGGTGCCTTAGGTACTATGCCACCACAGCTCCCTTGATGAACAAAGGTTTTTAATTTTGATGAGGTCCCATTTTTTATTTTTGCTGATTGTGTTTTTGTCATTATATTAGATAATCCATTGTTGAAAGCTAGGCCTGACAGCTTTGCCCTTGCTTATTCTAAGAATCTTATGGTTTCAGTTTTCACGTTTAGGTCCTTAACCCATTTTGAATTTGTTTTTGTGTATGGTGAGGCATGGATCCTGTTTCATTTTTCGCATGTGGAAGCCTGTTTTCCCAGCTCCATTTATTAAAGAGATTCTTCTTTCCCCAGTAAATGGACCTAGCACCCTTGTCAACAGTCAGCTGTTGATGTGTATGTTTATTTCTGAACTATAAATTCTGTTCCATTGGTCTTTGTGTTTATTGTTATACTAGTACCAGGCTGTTTTGATTACTGTAGCTGTATAATATGGTTTTACATCAGGATGTGTGAGTGCTCCAACTTTGCTCTCTTTCAGCATTGTTTTAGCTATTCAGGGCTTCTTGCCATTCCATATAAAGTTGAGGATTGATTTTTCCATGTTTGTAAAGAAAGCAGTTGGAATTTTCATTGGGACTGTGTTGAATCTATAGATCACTTTGGGTAGTATTGACATTTTAGCAATATTAAGTCTTCCAATCCATGAACATGAAAAATCCTTCCATTTATTCAAGTCTTCTTTAATCTCTTTCAATAGTATTTTATAAGTCCTTTATGTCCCTGGGTAGATTTATTCCTAGGTATTGTATTCTTTTAGTTGTTATTATAAATGGAATTATTTCCCTTTCAGATTTATCATTGCTGGTGTATAGAAACCCAGCTGTTTATTGTTATTATTATTATTACAGGTCTTGTA